ATTTTTTTTTTATCTTATATTTTATTTCAACAAATGAGCTGCTAATTTTTACACTATATTTTATATAATTAAGTATTTTGTTACAAATAATTTAGTCACAGCAGATGTGTTAAAATCCACCACGTGTATTTATGTATATTTTTTTCAAAAAATAATTCCAGGAGCGTGTAGTAACAAATAAGATATATATTTTTACATAATTTTGCTTGAATAAATAATAAATCAATAATTTTCCCGGCAGCACATTATAAGAAAGTTAAAGTTGTGCAATAATATATAATATATACACAACAATATTTCGCTATATTTAAACGTTCAAGGTTTTATTTAATGTGGGATCCGAATTTAACCTTGTACTAAATACTAATAAACGTCTCGACATTAAATATAAACTCTACAAGAAAAATCAACTACAAAAAACAAACCCAAAATAAAAAAAGTCATCCCAAAACCCTCACTTACAATTCTAATTAGAATCCATTACACACTTACCTTAATAATTTGACACTTCACAACAAGATTATTAGTTAATTAAAAACCACTTTTAAATATTAATATATAATTATTATTCTAGATTTGTTTGTCGTTCTGTGATGTGCTAATTAAGCTGAGTTTTTTTTTTCTTTAGGAAACTTTCCAATGATGTTCTCGGACGTAAATGTGATGCAAAACTATTCCTTTGTGGGGCAACTTATTTGCACAAACGTCAAAAACACATCAGAAGTGAAAACTGTCAAGATTCAAAATGGCGGGCCGGTACTGTCAACGCGAGCGACGGTGCTGCCGATGTAAATGAGATGGGATAAAATATAACTATAATTCAAATATTATATAAAAATGAATTGAAAAATGTGTTGTTAAGCGCATAACTCAGCAACGTCTGAACCAATTTGACCAATTTTTTTTCAAAATGTTCATTGAAGTCCAAGGATGGTTCTTACGGCGAGAAAAAATCGAATAATCGTCGGGAAAACCCTAAAAACAGCTTTTTTCTTTTGCACATGCAAACGTTTTCTAACTAAAACGTAGAAACAATTTGAGCTTTATTGCTAATATACAAAGCACTCACTGTATACTCCCTTCTAAACAATTATTCTGATTTTGATAAATCTTTCTGAAGTTTGTTAAGGAAAATTTCTAGGATG